AACGGACAAATGTTGTGGCTCTAAGTTGTCCGCCTTAGAGAACATCTCGTTTAGAGTCACAAAGACACCTCACCAGTTCATTGGCACACTTTCTGAAGTAGTAGGTGAGCCCATTGCAGCCACACTGCAGGTCTTGGCCCTGCTCAGCACAGGAGGCACTGCAGGGAGCCACGCACTTACCCCGGATAACGAGGGGGTCCTCCGATCTCAGGGGGAGAGAGACCACACTTGACTTCAACTGCAGGGCAACAGAGTGGCCATTTTGGGTGGGACACATCTTGCCGTTCTCCATCATAAACATATTCAACTGGATTGTCTTTGGTTGCCCTCCAAGTCATCTTCAGTCTGTTTGTAGGCTCTCAGGGAGTTCTCATCTTTTTCTTCCACGGCCTCCGCTCCCCTCAGTTCCGACTGGTGTGGGCATCTGCCTTTGGTCTGAAGGGCATACTTGGCTAAGGCATACTTTGCTAAGAAGAGGAGTGTCTCAGGAACAGAGTTCAACTTGATTGCAACTGGAACTATGCTTTCCAGTGAGGTCTCAAAACAGGCCAGCCTGAATCACTATTCTCAAGTACTCTCACAAACTGACACTGAACTCGGAGGGAGCAGTTTTGAACCAGTGCTGGTAGGAGACTTGGTCACTGAAACGGTTAAGAATAGTGAGAAGTGGCTTCCATATGGCAAATGTGGGGAGGAGTGCCCTCCGTAAGAGAGGTGTGGGGAGGAGTGCCCTTCACTGGAGGAGAAGTGTGAGGAGGAGTGTCCTCCGCAAGAGAGGTGTGGGGAGGAGTGCCCTCCACAAGAGAGGTGTGGGGAGGAGTGTCCTCCACAAGAGAGGTGTGGGGAGGAGTGTCCTCCACAAGAGAGGTGTGTGCAGGAACAACCACCCACCCTACAATATTTCATGACTTTGCAAAGCAGTAGTTAGTATAATTATATGAAAGTGTTATCACAAAGTATCTAGTATACAGTATAGGACTTTGTGATGAAACAAGTTTGCAAAACCGTGTAGCTACATGTTTACAGTTTAAGCTTACAATTATGCATAGGTGACTACAATTACAGAGTATTTTTCATTGTTACAACAACATCAACATCAAGCACAATCAAGTACAATATTAAGTTGTGGAGATAAACTCCCGAACAAGCAAGCATGCAGCCACATTCTCAAAATTCCTCCTCGATCAGTGACAACAGCAGTGAATATCGCTCATTATGGGGGTTGTCTTCATGAGGCTGAGGGTGCTCGTGAGTCATGTTAATCCTCTGGTAGACAAGGGCAGCAGTCAGAGCACTCGCCTTGTCGCGGTTGAGGTACATTGGAGGAACACCAATAACACTCACCAAGGCCTTCCGGAAATGTTTAAGTCCCTCGCACAGCTTCTTAACAGCTTTCTTCTCTTCACGTTTGAGAGTTTTCTTATCCCTGATAGTTTTAACTGAATCGTGAAGGGTATTGATCTCTTTTTCGATTTTATCAAAATCGATGTTTTTTACAGCATATTTCTCTAAAGCGTTTATAAGGCAAACAATCTTTGTCATTTGGAAGTCTCCTGGATGAGCTTTTCGTCCCCTTGTAGACAACTGAAACACGTTTTAGCTTTTACTCAGGCGATCAGAAACCACTTCCAAATCAAACTCCTTTCTTTTAAGCAGAGATGCATACAACTTTCTCTCATCCTCTTTAATACATTTGAGGGTAACAACCATGATCTCAATGGAACGTTTAAGGGCTAAAATTGGGTAATTTGTTTGACTGCCCCTGTTTAAATACCTCCAATACCTTAGAGCATCGTTTGAAATAAGTCTCTGTGCTCCTCCTCCACTTTTGATTGAAAACAGCTTGTAGGTGAGTAAAAAGATGGCAATAGCAAAACCATATTGGCTTAATGTGAAAATGTGCACCAATGCTGTGTCAATGGAGGAGAGGAGGGGAATAACAAGACCAAACCCAAAATATGAAACTATGCCGTACAAAAACAAAAGTGGAAACGTCATGAGAAATAGAGCAATTGTATCAAACCCAGTCTGTCTGAGTGTTTGGATGTTGGCAGCCATGTTTTCTTCATGATGACTCTGTGTTACTTCAGGCTCTTCATGATTTACTTCAGACTCTATAATGGGGGCAGCCATGTTTCCTTCATGTTGAATCGGTGCTACTTCAGGCTCTATAGTGACAGCAGCCCCCTCTGGTTCCAACACTAAAGTTTTAGAACATGCACATTCATCATCGTTACCTGCATGACCACCATCATTACCCGAATCAACCATCTCATCATTGTTAGTGGCAGCAGCCTTCTTTTGATCCAACAAACCTGCACGTTCATTATCGTTACTTGCATGATCACCATCATTACCCGAATCAACCGTCTCATCATTGTTATGCCCTCCATCCACATTTTCTAGGTCATCGAGCAGATTCTTGCAACAAAAGACTTGACATCGCTTGAAACAAGTACCCTTTCTAACGTTGAAGACAACTGTTGAAAATTTGTACATGTACTGCAATGACCAATAAAGAAACACAAATATGGCAAAATAGAGCAAAGAAATAGCAAAACTTCTGTCTTCATAAGACACCCAACCCCCAATAATAAAACCGAAATGAGATAAGGCCGCTATAAGTGGAGTTACTAAACTGTTTAAAAGAAGCCATATCCTGGCCTCCTTCCTGCCTATCTGCTTAAATGAAACAACACCACAACACATGATTTGAAAATACCCCTGAAAGAATAGTTTGCAGTTGGTGTGTCTAAAATGAGAGAAAAGTGGTATAAAGGCCAACACAAAACTAATAAACAGACCCACAATTTCCAAAATGGTAATAAGTGAGAGAAATAATAATTGGTAATATTCAAGCTTATCATACTCATCAACGGTTGAATTTTCAGACAGAGCTACTACATCCATTGCAATCACAAACAGAGTAAAGGTTTGGCCAATCCAGTAGAGAGCAGCAACATTGGGAAATATTTCCGAGTCATTAATGTGACTTCGAATATAGGGGAAAGCTCCGTGGACACCTACCCATATCAGAACAATGGCAGCAAGAGGTAATCCTATAGCCAGAGAGAAGAAAAGTGCAACTTTCTCCGAGTGATTGTCTTGCTTTCTGTTCTCAGCTGCAACAACCTTCACTTCAGGATCCTCAGACTCAGTTGAACTTTCGGCGTACAGTCGTAACTGAAAAGGAGAACAGGAGGTAGCCAACTAAGACACTCATTGCAACGCAAACCATAATTTTATCCTAGTATAATAATTATATTGGACACACACTGCTAGTAATAGTGTGAGGCTAATAATTATATTACCCTGGGTGTGAGAAGGAACAAAAGTTGGTTGCATCCAACCTTATAAGCTAAATCACGGCACTCAAGCCAACAAGACAATCATTGCAACGCCAACCATTGTATAATCTACTGGACGTGCAATGCTAGCATAGTGTGCAGGTTATTGTTTCTTACCCTGTGTGTGAGAAGGAACAAAAAGTTGGTTGTGTCAGATTTCGTGTTGTTAGCTAAATCGCTGCACTCCTCTGGAAGCTGCAACTCCAAACCAACAACTCTGTTGGCCTCGATATAAGAGAAGAACAGGGAGAGGAAGCTGATGATGCGTGGGTGGACAGTTAAGTAGAGGAACGCTGTTGACCAGATATAGTCGACACTGATAGTTGAGAAGTTGTATGTCACAGTCACGTACAGAGGATTATCGGTGTGAGGTGGAAAAAACGTAGTTTTCAGCAAAAAGATATTTTGAGGTGTGTTTACTATTACTTTTTCCAGAACTTCATAGTCAGATGTACAACTTTCATACTCAATTTCACAACGAGAAAGTGGTAAGATTGCTCCACTAATAACAACCAGACATATCAGTAGATGCTGGATTACAACCATCCTATCACAAGAAACACATATACATCCTCACTCACACATAAAACCGTAATCATACCTATTTTTCGGCACGATTCTTGTCAGACAGAAAAACAGTGACAAGTATCAGCTCTTCTGTCCTTTTATGTGCATGGCCAAACAGAAAGGGACTTTCACAACAAGGAAACACGGTACTACACATTTCCCTAGCATAAGCGGAAATTTGTGTGTGTCTAATCGGTTGAACATATCAGCTCTACTGTCATTTTTATACGCATGGCCAAGCAGAAGGGACTTTCACAACAAGGAAACACGGTACTACACATTCCTAGCATAAGCAGGAAATTGTGTGTGTCTAATCGGTTAACTTATTGGAGGGCATTTGTGCGATCTTCAGTTTCCTGGTCTAGGTTATATGACACTGATGCTCTCTTGCTGTTTTCACTCACGCAGCAGTACTTACTCTGTTTGTGAGAAGGACAAAAAGTTGGTTGACGTCAGATTTGTGTTGTTAGCTAATCACTGCACTCCTCTGGAAGCTGCAACTCCAAACCAACAACTCTGTTGGCCTCGATATATGAGAAGAACAGGGAGAGGAAGCTGATGATGCGTGGGTGGACAGTTAAGTAGAGGAACGCTGTTGACCAGATATAGTCGACACTGATAGTTGAGAAGTTGTATGTCACAGTCACGTACAGAGGATTATCGGTGTGAGGTGGAAAAAACGTAGTTTTCAGCAAAAAGATATTTTGAGGTGTGTTTACTATTACTTTTTCCAGAACTTCATAGTCAGATGTACAACTTTCATACTCAATTTCACAACGAGAAAGTGGTAAGAATGCTCCACTAATAACAACCAGATATACCAGTAGATGCTGGATTACAACCATCTATCACAAGAAACACATATACATCCTCACTCACACATAAAACCGTATCATACCTATTCGGCAAGATTCTTGCCAGACAGGTAAACAGTGACAAGGCTCTCTGTCCTTTTGTATGCATGGCCAAGAGTAAAGGGACTTTTAAAACAAGGGAACACAGGTATTACATATTCCCTAGCATAAGCGGAAATTTGTGTGTGTCTAATCGGTTGAACATATCAGCTCTACTGTCATTTTATACGCATGGCCAAACAGAAGGGACTTTCACAACAAGGAAACACGGTACTACACATTCCCTAGCATAAGCAGGAAATTTGTGTGTGTCTAATCGGTTAACTTATTGGAGGGAATTTGTGCTATCTTCAGTTTCCTGGTCTAGGTAATATGACACTGATGCTCTCTGCTGTTTTCACTCACGCAGCAGTACTTACTCTGTTTGTGAGAAGGAACAAAAAGTTGGTTGCGTCAGATTTTGTGTTGTTAGCTAAATCACTGCACTCCTCTGGAAGCTGCAACTCCAAACCAACAACTCTGTTGGCCTCGATATAAGAGAAGAACAGGGAGAGGAAGCCGATGATGCGTGGGTGGACAGTTAAGTAGAGGAACGCTGTTGACCAGATATAGTCGACACTGATAGTTGAGAAGTTGTATGTCACAGTCACGTACAGAGGATTATCGGTGTGAGGTGGAAAAAACGTAGTTTTCAGCAAGAAGATATTTTGAGATGTGTTTACTATTACTTTTTCCAGAACTTCATAGTCAGATGTACAACTTTCATACTCAATTTCACAACGAGAAAGTGATAAGATTGCTCCACTAATAACAACCAGATATATCAGTAGATGCTGGATTACAACCATCCTATCACAAGAAACACATATACATCCTCACTCACACATAAAACCGTAATCATACCTATTTCGGCACGATTCTTGCCAGACAGGTAAACAGTGACAAGGCTCTCTGTCCTTTTATATGCATGGCCAATGAGTAAAGGGACTTTTAAAACAAGGGAACACAGGTATTACACATTTCCTAGCATAAGCGGAAATTTGTGTGTGTCTATATCAGCTCTCCTGTACTTTTATACGCATGGCCAAAGAGTAAAGGGATTTTCAAAAGAAGGAAACACATGGTATTACACATTTCCTAGCATAAGCGGAAATTTGTGTGTGTCTAATCGGTTGACTTATTGGAGGGAATTTGTGCTATCTTCAGTTTCCTGGTCTAGGTAATATGACACTGATGCTCTCTGCTGTTTTCACTCACGCAGCAGTGTCATTCTAGGTTACTCTACTGTACACTGTGCCATTCTGCTTCTGACACTATTACAACAGCATTATAGTAGCTGGTCACTTGCACACTCTCTTTAGGGATAGTGATTTGCATATAACATACTGAGATCCATGCCCACGGATGTAGCACAGCACAGTTAAAGACTATTTAAAGGAGGACTACAGAACAAAATCTTGCAAATTAATGTCACCACAAGAGAAAAGAAATCCTCGTGTAATTTGAGTGTCGCGACTTGTAAGGAGCCATTATTGAAGTGAACATTATTATTTTGAGTGCGTCTCGCAATGTGTGTCTTCAGTGGACAGCTGAGCTGTATCAGTGGCAGCCACTAACCAAGACAAGTCACTTGGACCATACATTTCCTCGACTGCTAAAATGACATATTGACCTCACTGGATTTTTGTCCCATTTTGGTGAGTATTCCATCTCAATCAGCAAGCAAAGAGCGCCCAAAATAGTAAAATGCTTGAGACATTCATTTGTACATTGTATACGTACACAAATGAATGAAAAATGGTGAGCGAAGAAAGCAAATACAACAATGCAATTTTACAGCAAAAAACTATCTTAGAGTTTACTGTACGTCAGAAGTATGGATAGTTTTACATTACTGTG